CCCCCCCCCCCCCCCCCCCCACTTGAAATCTTGGACAGCAACTCTAAGACTGTGTTTGAAATTGATCCCGTTTTTGTTTTTTATGTTTTTTGAGAAAAAAATGAAAACGTTTCTAAAACGGCGTTTGACGTAGTAAAGACAAAAAATAGAAATGAAAATGATTTTTTAGTTTAGTGTAAAATGAGAGAAAAATAAAAAATAACTTTTAGTCGTTTTTTATTTTTTATTTTCGTTTTCTCCTCTCTTGAGCAGAGAGGGAGAAAAAGAGACATTAATGAATTTTTTTCACTGAAAATAATTTCTTGATAAAACTACTAAACATATTTTTAAAAATAATTTATGTATAAAATTGAAATATTTTTATTTTTATTTTTATAAAAAAAATAAAATTATTTTGAAATGAGTTTCAAAGCTCCAAACTTCCAACATGTTTGGTCATCAAATCCCTTCTCCTTTCAGCTAGTACACGTGGTTACCTCTGATTCGTGTATTAGGTTCACCTTTCGATAAAATATAAGTAAACCAACAAATTAAAAAAATAATAAAAAATATCGTAGCGCGGGTACATATATATGTGCGCTCCAACCGAACAAATCCAAACGGACACCAAAAACGGATATTTTTCATTCTTGCCTCGATTCTTTCCCACGGATAAGATTCAGACTCCGATAGAGGGAGAGAGAGAGAGAGAGTTAGGGCTTGAGAGTTTCAAATTCGGGAGAATTCTCTCCGACATCTCAAATCCTAAAGCTTCAGCTTCAATGGCTCTGGGTTTTCAGCAAAACTAGAGCTTTTTTCGCAAAGTATTCATCACGATGAAAAGTTTAGCGGTTCTCTGTGGGAATTACATATCCTCGTCGCCTTCCAGCTCTTGCTGCGATCTCCGTTTCCAGCCCTATTTGGCTCCGCCGACCGGTGTTCGGCTAAAACGGCGTCGTCACAGCAGTTCGAGCTTCCGCTATGCATCAAGGTGACCGTTTCATGGATTTGTAAAGGTTATAGAATTCAGCCCGTTTATTTCACCTAAGTTTATAATTTAAATTTTACTAGAGTGAAAAATTATTAAAAATAGTCATGTTTAATTTATTTTACTGATTTGAGTTTAAAAATTTTTTAAAAATATCAGATTTAATTTTTTTATTACATCACATCTTAATTTGAATTGAAACTTAAATCCGTAAAGTTAACGAGGTCTTAAATTTTTTTACTACATAAAATTTTTTTAAAAATTTTTTTACATAAAGTCATATCTCAACTCAAATTGAAAATTTAAATCACCAACTAGACGAATTCTCACTTTTCTGATAATTGTCTTTTGAACGCATGATGGATAATCGATTTTAGATTTTGCAGGAAGCGAGAGGTTGATCGTAGAGTGACTGAGACGCAGACTGATCCAGATAGCAACAATAATGAGGTAAGGTTTAAAAACCACCGGGAAGGAACAAAAGGGCATTCTATTTTGATTTTTTTGGTCCCAATTTTTAGCAGTGTTGGTGCTTTTAAGACTGATTTAATTTTGTTAGGAAATGATTTATATAATGCGAAAAATGACCCTTTCTGTCATATAGAATATCCCAGAAGCATTCTCAAGAAGTTGTTAAAAGTGTCTTTTTCAAAACCAGATACGGTTTGTGGGTCGCTAACCTGTTAAATTTGTATGTTTAGGATGAAGAAGGGAATGAAGATGATGAGCAGGCACAGCCTTCCACAGACTTCTCTGCCCAAGCTCAAGATGACAACCATGTTGATCCTAAGCCTCTTGCCGCGGAACAAATAGATGACAATGTTGCCGAAACTAACTCTCATGTTGGCATTCTGGGAATTTTGTTTTAATTTTTTTTTTTTAACATATATGCTCGCTAGGAAGTGTGGAATTGCTAATTTTACTTTGCTTTGAATGATGATTTCGGTTGTTTTTTCTCTTCAAAATTAAAGATGAAGAGCATTTTCTTTTCCCTTTCTTTAGGTGGCCGCGGTGGTGATGGATCCCGGTTGTTTTTTATACATGAAAAACATTGACTCGTAATCGAATGAAATTAATTTTTAGTCTGTGATCATGTCCTTTGGCATAAAATCAACTTCTTAAGAGTTTTTGTGAGGCCTATAACTTTTTGGGGTTCAACTTGTCAATTCTATCATACAAATAATACATTTAAGTTGATTTCCAAAATGTTAGACTTCTCTTTTCATTTAGAAATCTGTATTTCTGATTGAGATATGGCTTTGACCAGATGTTTCTTTTGGCTCCTGCCTTTGAAACAGGAGGCTGAGAACGTAGAAGTTACTAGTGGATCACCTCTGCCAGGTGTGAAGGTGATTATGAATAGCAATTTTCACTATAGAGGCACGTAATCTCATATGCCTTGAATCTGACTTTTTCTTTAATAATTTCTAAAACAGCCGCAACAATTGGATGAATCAATCATAATTCCAAAAGAAACAATTGAAATACTTAAAAACCAAGTGTTTGGTTTTGATACTTTCTTCGTGACAAGCCAGGAGCCATATGAGGTAAAAATATGATTCCTTTCATCTTTTTAGCTTCACTTTTGGGTCTGTAAGAAATCTCAACTAGCAGGGAGAAGAGCCACCAGAAATTGCAGCACGGAAATAAAATTTATTGCTGATTAATATATTTTTTAGGCTTCTTATATAGGACAGGTTGTGGGAGTTTTTAAATACTTGTTTTACACGTAATGTACAGAACCAGTTGAAATTGTTCTGTATTATGCTTGCCACATGTCATTTTTTTGCATTATTTATTGACATTATGACTTTGTTATAGCTTGGAGTGCTATTCAAAGGAAACCTGCGAGGCGAGCCTGCAAAGAGTTATGAAAAGATAACAAGGAGAATGGAGGTGCCTATCTCTGTTTTTTCCGTCTATTGGCTGGACATATAGCTGTGTTTTTTTTTTTTTTTTTTTTTCATTTTACTGGTTATAGAAATTAATGATTGATTTTTATTTTATATAAAATATTGATTGACAAAACTTATATGCAGGATCAATTTGGGAATCAGTACAAGCTGTTCCTTTTAGTCAATCCTGAGGATGATCGCCCGGTGGCAGTTGTAGTTCCAAGAAAGACATTGCAACCAGAAACAACAGGTTATTTTTGGAGTCTTTCACTTATAGTTTCTTATCAAAGGAACTCTTGGTTTATAAATATCAAACGTTTTTTTTGCTTTTTTTTTTCAGCTGTTCCCGAGTGGTTTGCTGCTGGGGCTTTTGGACTTGTTACGGTGTTTACTTTACTTCTTCGGAATGTTCCTGCATTGCAATCCAACTTATTGTATGCAGTTCTTTCCTTTCCTGTGAATACTTATATTTATCCAAGGCCTTGGCTCATATTTGATTCTCAAGTCAAAAGTAACAAAACAATGTGTACACATTTACTTTAAACATGAGTTAGATGTGCCAAAAGAAATGTAATTATGTTTTAGTTATTTGGCTTTGGTAGATAATTTTTGCTATATCTCACAGATCAACTTTTGACAATCTTGACCTGTTGAAGAATGGAGCATCAGGAGCGCTAGTCATGGGACTTATTCTCGGGGTGCATGAACTCAGCCACATTTTAGTGGCAAAAAGTAGCGATGTTAAGCTTGGGGTGCCATATTTTGTTCCAAGTTGGCAGGTGTACTTTCTCATACAAAATATTTTGATTTGTTTCGCAAATTGAGAAGTTATATTATTCCTACTCCAGATATGTCTGGTGATTGATTTTGAGGTCAGGAAATTGTGACGAACTGTTTTGGTGGCAGATAGGCTCTTTTGGTGCAATTACAAGGATTTTGAATATTGTACCCAAGCGTGAAGATCTATTGAAAGTCGCAGCAGCTGGACCTTTGGCTGGATTTTCCTTGGGCCTTGTTCTTTTGCTCTTAGGGTTTTTCTTACCACCTGCAGATGGTCTTGGTGTTGTCATTGATTCTTCTGTTTTTCACGAGTCCCTTCTCGCCGGGGGTATCGGTAAGCACTTCATTCTGCATTACTACTCTCATATGCATACATATTTCAAAAGGGACAAATCTTCCAGAGCTTTATGGAAATGGAGTATTTCAATAACAAGAAAGTCCGTTGCCCCAAACATTTTATTTTTTGTACATGTAAATTTCAGAAACTATTCCCTTTGTAAATTGGAGATGCCATAGTGACTGCTTCGTGTTTTTTCCTTTTAGCAAAGCTTCTTCTTGGTGATGTGCTCAAAGAAGGCACTCCGCTATCTGTTAACCCTCTTGTAATATGGGCATGGGCTGGACTCCTCATCAATGCCATCAACAGCATTCCCGCGGGGGAGCTTGACGGAGGGCGGATTGCATTTGCCATTTGGGGCAGAAAGGTATATACCATTTTAAGCCATCACAATAAGATAATTATTTGAACTCAAAGCTTAAAGAACACACCAAGGAAAAAAAAAAGAAAAAAATCTGAGATAGAACGCTTATTGACTTTTCTATTCTTGTATTATAACAGACTTCAGTGCGCTTTACGGCTGCTGCTATCGGGATGCTGGGCCTATCCGCGATTTTCAATGATGTAGCCTTTTACTGGGTGGTTCTGATATTCGTTTTACAGAGGGGGCCAATTGCTCCACTCTCAGAGGAAATCACAGATCCCGATAACAAGTATGTTGCTCTTGGGATATTAGTTTTGCTCTTAGGATTGCTAGTGTGCTTACCATACCCCTTTCCATTCACGGAAGAAGTTGTGACGACTTTCTAGCTAGGGATACAAACCATAGTAGAGGGATTGTTCAAGAAAATGACTCTAAGCACACAATTCTGGCTCGCATTGTAGCTCACATGTACATCATCAATACAAGTCATACTCTATCATTCAGATCAATAAAAGTTATTTATTTTCTTGATTGAAAATTGCGTGAGCCAGTGAAATCGAACTCTCAAAAGATAGTTTGCACGTGTCCCACAGTTTCATTTCTCGTTTTTTATTTGATGACTAGAAAATGGTACAAGGGTAGATCACATTACAAAATAACGAGACAGAGCGGGCATGAGTTTACTCAAGTCGCCGCCCCGATGTCCCATGCTCAATCGTTGTTACTACTTACTACTATGCACTAATTGTATATTTAACATAAAAAAATATGATTTAATTTTTATTTTCACGTTTGTTCTAATGTATAATGTTATTTGAAATGTTAAATTTATTTTTTCCCATAATCAATCAAGTATTGAAAGTTGTAAAAGTAAATTTTTATTTTTAAAATAATTAAAAAATAAAAAAGTTACAATGATTACATGAAAAAGTAAACATTTGAACCAATAATAATCAAATGTTAAAATTTTCATGTGTTATACTTACAATTTCTAATGCAAATATTAATGTCAATTGTATATTTAACATAAACAAGTATGATATAATATGCTATTTTTATTTTTGTTCCAATGTATAATGTTATTTGAAATGTTAAATCTATTTTTTCTTATAATTATTAAGTTTTGAAAGTTGTAAAAGTAAACATTTATTTTTAAAATAATTAGAAAATGTAAAAGTTACATTGATTATATGAAAAAAGTAAACATTTCAACTAATAGTAAACAAATGTCAAATTTTTTATATGCTATACTTAGTGAGAAATTTGTCACAAAGTATAACATATGAAAAATTTGACATAACAAATTGTATTGCATTGAAGAGTGTTTTTTGCTCTCAAATGCTAAATTTGTAATTGACACATTAATTATAGCATTGCATTAGAGATGCTCTTAGTGAGAAATTTACCACAAAGTTATATGAGAAATTTAGTATAATAAATAGCATTACATGAGAGAGTATTTTTATACTTAAATGTTAAATTTACAATTAACACATCAATTATTGTATTGCATTGAAGATAGTCTAAGCAAATAGTCACGGCAACTACTGTTCAAAAAATCACATTAGAAGTCCCAACGTCCAATGGCGACGAGAAACGAACCTGCAAATCATAACTCTGTCGTCGCTTGAGAAAGAAATCGCAATTCCACTGTCCCGCCAAAAAGAAATTGCAACGTCGTCTCTGGCAATGGAGATGATGAAACCGTCGTCGCCTAGAGAGACAGATTTCAATGATGTCACTTGCGATCCCACCATTGCTCGCAAAAGAAATTGTGAGGCCATCTATCGTGATGAAGATACCGATGCAACGAGACGGACTGCCACGTCATCACTTCCGATGGAGATTCCAATGTCGTGACGATGGCGATTGCATAGATGAAAGATGGGGAACATATCCACAGAGAGAGAAAGAGAGAGAGAGAGAGAGAGAGAGAGAGAGAGAGAGAGAGAGAGAGGATTAAAGAAAGAAGATTTAAGAAAAATGACAAAAAAAAAGGCAAATTTTATGGTGAGATCAAATAGAGGAAGAGGGCGGTAGATTAAAGAAAGAAGATTTAAGAAAAATGACAAAAAAAAAGGCAAATTTTATGGTGAGATCAAAAAAGTTTTACCGGCACAATCATATTTTTTAACTATTAGATTAATTTTTTAACGGACAAATTTGTATTAATTCGTATTAAAAATTTACAGCACGTCATATATAATTGCTCGTACTACAAATCTAATCATTAAAAAATTAATCTAACAGTAAAAAAACAGAGCTCCATCAATGGAATTTTTTTTTGAGGTTTCACCATAGATATTATCAAAAAAGAAACCTATAATGAAGGGTAAAATTAGAAAATAAAATGTTTAAAACTAAAAAGAGATTTTTCTATTGATTGGTAAACTGATTTCTATGAATTTCAAAAGTTAATATCTTTACTACAATTTCCCAACTCTTGTTTGGTAGAATGGATTGGTCAATGATTTCACATCCCACATCCATTTTTTTTTTTTCATCCTTCCTATCAAACTTACAGGACGCAAAAGACATAAAAAAAAAGATATAAAAAAAATATTGTACGAGCGATACATCAGAGTTATATTAGATTATGAAATATTAAATTTAAACAAAAGAAATTTTCAGCTACCATTTTATTTTTCAACCATGAAATTCAAATTAGGTCCGTTTAGTTCATTAATTCGAGTTAAAATGTGACTTTATGTGAGAGCTTTTTACTGTAACAAAAAAATTAAATGTGATTGTTTCTGAAAACTTTTTCTTGTAGTAAAACTCGAATTTTAAATTTGAATTGGTAAAATGAACGGGGCGAAAAAGTTTATTTTCATATCATTTGATTTTGATATCATTGTGACTAAATTTAATAATAAAAAATGTTCACTATCAGTATCATAGTAAGATCTTTGAACAAACTTGGATAAAACTTAATGGACAATATTTTACCTATACGGTAGTTTTTATTAGAATAGAATAGATATATGTTGCTTCTTTTGTGATAAAACCTTAAAAATTGGGCGGATCATGTGAATCGTGTTTTTTCTTTTTTCTTTTTATTTCTTTAATTATGCAAGCGTGCTTTTATTCTTTTTATGTCTTTATGCAGTTGATTTTGACCGACGTCAATTTTTCCCTTTTCTATTTCGACGTTGATGTGTTAATGAGTTTGGCATCAAGTTAAATTTTGATGCGTGAAAATCTCTTCTGTTTGTGCAATTTCTTCCACGGAGAACTGTAGTAGGAGCACCTATTCATTAGATTATTCATCGCAATTGTATAATTTAAATTAACCGACACTCACAAAAGTAGTATAACCGTTTAAAAAATCACCTTACGATAATCTGTCAAATGTTATATACGATGTCTAATTTAAGTCGTACATTTTAACTGTATAAATTATTTTTCACTATTTATTTGGTAAAGATAGTTTCTTTTAGAGGAATTTCTCTAGCTTACTGGTAGTGTTTAATCGTTAAATTATGTCAAAATCATATTAAATTAAAAAAACATATAAAATAGACAGTTTTTAATACAAATTTTAAAGTTAAAAATAAATAACTATTGATATTTTTTTTTTATCTTATCCATTCTTTCGGTTATGTTAGTCCTAACTGTGAAATAATATTATTACAGACGATTCGTCGACAAACCATGAATGAATTGGAAGAAAAAATGTGTTTTTGTTTTGTTTTTTTAAGGATGCATCTATAACCTATACTTAATACTCTGTAGTTCCAATTAAGGCCTTGTTCAGTGAATAGACTGTGCAACGTCGAGTTCATTGTTTTTCGTTTCATTTTTATTAATGGATATTGAAATCTACACTAATGTCTCTTTTTACAAAGAAAAAAAAAAACACATTGACAAAAGTTGTAAAAAGTTCTTTTTTTTAATAGTTCTTTTGTGTGCGATAGATCCTAATCAAATTGAAATTTAATCAGTGCGGATATACAAACTGTGATTATGTTACATATGAAGATGTATATAGATTTTAGAAAGGTATGAAATGAATAATATTGATGTCATATTATAAGTTAATGTTATTTATTTTGTTGATTTATTTTATTTTTGCTCTGATGAGAGTTAAGGAAAAGAAATATATCTTAAATATGATTGGACAATAATTGCCTAGAAAAGAAATATATCTTAAATATGATTGGACAATAATTGCTTGCCTATACTTGTATAAATTAAATTTTATACCCTTTTTGATTGGCTAAAAAAAGTTAAAAAAATATATGTATTCTGAAAACAAGCAGTTGGACGTGAAGGGAAAAAAACTTTAAGGCTTCGTTAATTTCACCGATTCGAATTTTTAATTTTAAGTTTTTATAGTAAAAAGTTCTCAAAAAATATCACATTTAACTTTTTCTGCTACAGTAAAAATAAAAAAAATGTCACATCTCAGCTCGAATTAAAAACTCGAATTCACAAAATGAACGAGGTCTAAATCTCAATTAAAGGACCTGCCACAAAATTTTTCTAATGAGATAAGAATAAGATTAATCAAATTTGGGATTTAATCTTTCCGAAGATGGAAAAACAAAAATAAAAAAAATCAATAAAGACAACAAAGGGCATTTTTGGGATATTAACCTTTTATGAAGTACACACATGCACGCCTTTTTAAGTGTCCGTTTCCGGAGCAAGAGTCTCATCAGAGTCTCCTCACTCTAACCGTTACATTACAACGGATTTGAAAAGAAAAAGAAAAAAAAGGTTACTGAAACTTAAGGACTCCGGTGACGGCGACCAACAATGCAAGCGCAGATTCGAGGCTCTCCGTACTGCTCCTTTCCGACGCGTCACCGGCTGCGTCCGGTGCCGGTTACCGGTCGACTCGTTAGAACGTTGAGCTCACCGTCGTACGCCCGTACAGTGAAATGCTGCTCTCTCCGGAGCTCCTCCTTGAGTTAGTTTCGTCTTTTCACTTGTTTCATTCACGAGTGTTTGGTTCCCGAGAAAACGTAAGAGAAAAAAAAAAACAAAACAAAACAAAAGCTTCGTAAAATCGTTCTCGGTGGCACACGCCTCTAAAAAGTCAAGCCTGTTATTTCGCTTTTGTTGATTCTTCATTTTGGTTGTTACATGATCACCTTTTGCACGCACTGCATTTTCTCGGGAATTTAATCAGAACTACACTGAAAACCGAAAAGAGTTCGAGGCAAAACTATTTGCTTATCGCATTTGCTTTTAATTTAATCTTTTTTTTTTTTTTTTCAGTTGATGATGCAAACAAATTCTCAGAAGCTGCAAAGAAGGGAAATTTGGTTCCGCTTTACCAGTGCATTTTCTCGGATCAGCTCACGCCGATTCTCGTGTATAGGTGTCTGGTTAGAGAAGATGACAGGGAAGCTCCGAGCTTTCTTTGTGAATCCGTGGAGCCAAATCTTCGCGACTCAAGTGTTGTATGTTTGCGAAACGTTTTTTTTTTTCTCTGCGTTTGTGTGTGGATTTTAGTGCAATACACTAATAATGGAATCGTTTGGTGGCTGTATTAGGGGCGTTTTAGTGTGGTTGGAGCTCAGCCAACAATGGAGATTGTGGCGAAAGAGAACAAGGTCACGATAATGGACCATGAAGAAGGGCTTATGACTGAGGAGATTGTGGAGGATCCAATGGCTATCCCTGCTAGGATTTCCGAGGGTTGGAATCCCCAACTCATTGATGAACTTCCAGATGCATTTTGTGGTATATGAACTTCTATAACTGTGTTATTATCAATTATGACTTTACGAGGGATCTTATTCTTATATACATTTGTAGTTTATCGTTCATAATTGCATAATATATTTAGAAGGATTGCATGGTGGATTTTAAGCAATTTTACTACTTATTCAATGAGTAAGTTTGGTATTAGTATAAGAACCTAATAATCCATTGGAAAATCAGTATGTTGTGGAGTGTTTTGAGGTTAGTAATTCTCTTTTGTTATGGGCATTATCATTTGTTAGCAGGTGAAAAGAGATTATTTCTCATGGCGAGAATTCACTATCGCGGTGTTCTTAGTTTTTATTTGGTGAAAATATAAATGATTGTGTTATTCTTTTCACACTTTTTCACACTTTATAGTCTTTCCTCTTTGTTGGTTTCTTTTTTATTTATTTTTAAATAATTAGATTCAACAGTGCTAACTTGGTGATGAAATCTATTGTGCATAGGTGGTTGGTTAGGTTATTTTTCATATGATACAGTTCGTTATGTGGAAAAGCGAAAAGTTCCTTTTTCAAAGGCTCCTAAGGATGATAGAAACCTTGCTGATATACATGTAGGACTTTACGACGACGTATTCGTGTTTGACCATGTGGAGAAGGTAAATTTAGACAAGAATCTAGTTTTGATGTTTCTGTTTGTGCATGATCCTGTTCTGTATGCTTTTATCGTTTTGGAATATATGTTCTTTTGTCGTCATCGAGTACCAAAACGGCGGTTTTTATATTCTTTTGACACAACTATTATTACGAAACGTGGCTTTATTACTCTGGATATTTTTAGAATTTTTGCATATCTACACAAAGAAAGGATCCTTTTAAGTTCTTTTATTTTCTTTATTGTCAGAAAGTATATGCTATTCATTGGGTAAGGCTTGACCGCTACTCTTCTATTGAAGCTGCTTATAAAGATGGAATGAAACGTTTGGAATCATTACTTGCTAGAATACAAACTGCTGATCCGTGAGTGACTATTATTTTATCCTCATTTATCTTTAGATACCTTATTCTTCGATAACTCATTTACAGCATACAATTTGATTGTTAATGTTTAGCCCAAGGCTAAGTGCAGGTTATGTTGATCTATATACTCGTCATTTTGGTCCTCCTCTGAAGAATTCAAATATGACAACTGAAGAGTTCACGAAAGCTGTACGGGATGCAAAAGAACATATTTTAGCAGGAGATATTTTTCAGATTGTATTATCACAGCGTTTTGAACGACGAACTTTTGCTGATCCCTTTGAAATCTATAGAGCACTGAGAGTAGTAAATCCAAGTCCATACATGACTTATTTGCAAGTTAGTATTTGCTTTTCCTTTAAACCAATTTTCCATTAAAAATTTCGCACTCCAGTATTTTTGTTTCCTTATCAGTGTTGGCACCTATGAATTTATGTCGTTTTCTCAACCAGGCTCGAGGTTGTATACTTGTTGCTTCAAGTCCAGAAATTCTTACGCGTGTCAAGAAGGTGAAGTTCCTGCCAAAACTCATTTTTATGTTTCAAAGGAGACTTAAAATTCCAAGGTCGCAATAAATTCTTGTTTATGGCATTTTTTTTTCTTTTGTATAATATGCGAATGAGAATATTCACTATATGCGATCTTATGAACAGAGGAAAGTAGTGAATCGACCACTGGCAGGAACCGCCAGAAGAGGGAAGACAACCAAAGAAGATAAAATGTTGGAAACGCAGCTGATTACTAATGAAAAGGAATGTGCAGAGCATATCATGCTGGTTGATTTGGGCCGTAATGATGTTGGAAAGGTTTCTTTTTATTTTTTATTTTTATTTTTAACTTTTACTTCTATTGTTCTAATGTGGACACTGATTTACCAAACATCCAAAGATCATACTAAACTTGAACTCATTTAAATGTCATAATTGCCCCGGCGATCTCATTCTATGTCACGCACATCCATTTATTATCTACTTAGGATGTTCATTACTGTGGACCTTGTCTCTACTTGGTATTGCATTTAAGTACTCTCTCTCTCTTTCCTATTAGTCTCTTATTGGTTAGCATTAATTTGGACAGCAAGTGTTATGATAACCAAGCACACACAATGGCAGTAAAAATAGGTTCATGGTTGAGGACCATGAAATTTTGTATTATACTTTCCAATAACAGCATCTATAAATAGCTATAAAAGCCTTTTTTCTTAAAAAAAAAAAAAAAAAAAAAGTAGAACCGATTACCAATTTAATGATGCAGAGTGTTGATGCAGGTCTCGAAGGATGGCACTGTGAAGGTGGAAAAGTTGATGAACATTGAACGATATTCCCATGTAATGCATATAAGCTCCACGGTACGAATGTGCTTTATTTGCAGATCAGAAGGGAAACCCCTAATATAGGATTCTACATTCACACTAATCACATTTTTTCTTTCCTTTTTAAGCATAACATTCATAGTCTGTCTATTGATCTTTATGTAATCCCATATCTCTTATTTTTCCAACAATAGGTTTATTCTTCTTGTGACGAACTTTTTTCATAGATGATCATGATTTTACACCAGTGAATTTCCAAATTCCATTCTGAAATTTTATCCTTCGCAGGTTACTGGAGATTTACGCGATTCCCTCTCTTGCTGGGATGTCCTTCGTGCTGCTTTGCCTGTTGGAACTGTCAGTGGAGCCCCAAAGGTACTCACTTAACATTCTTTTCTCTCCTCTTAGCTTTTTAGCTTTAACCATTTTCAAGTATTTTTGGTAGTCTTCTGAACATTTGGTCTGACCGTCTTGAGTAGTTTTCTAGTATTTCGTTTCTAATAATTTATATGCAGGTGAAGGCTATGGAACTAATTGATGAGCTTGAGGTGTCGAGGCGTGGCCCCTACAGCGGTGGATTTGGAGGTGTGTCTTTCACTGGTGACATGGACATTGCGCTAGCCCTCAGGACCATCGTGTTTCCTACTGGAACTCGTTTCGACACCATGTATTCGTACAAGGACGCTGGCGGCCGCCGTGAGTGGGTGGCTTACCTTCAGGCTGGTGCTGGAGTAGTGGCTGACAGCGACCCAGATGCAGAGCACCGTGAGTGTCAGAACAAGGCGGCAGGTCTAGCTCGAGCCATCGATTTGGCCGAATCGGCATTTGTCGATAAATGACGTCTAAGTTACAGTGACTAAATTCAACTTGGTGGTGTCTCCCTTATTTACAAAATCTCACTGATCTTGTTAACTGAGGATCTTTGTAAAGGGTGTCAACAAAGGAACTGAACTAGTTTTCTTTCTCAGTTAAAAAAGAAAAAAAGAAAAAAAAAAGTGTTATCTTTTGTACTTGGTTTTTAGAGTAAACATGCTACAAGAGTGTGACGGGGCCGTCAACAGAATCTATCTCACTTTCTGGGCATTTGATTGGCGACACACTTCTCAAGCCCTTCAATAGATGTACCTTTATGTTATCATAGCAAATGCAAGTACTTATATATTGCCTTTTCCCCTACTTTTTTAAAATATTATTTTTTTCTTTAATATAGAGAAAAAAAACATCTAGTAAAGAACTCTCTTTTTAATCCAGATGATAAAATGAGATAGTTAATTACTTTCCTACTCCAAATATGTTGCCGAAGAAATGAAAAACTAAGAAAGAGCTAGATGATTAGTACATAGAAGTAGTAGATTAGTTTACATGGAGTAATCAACGTCTTAAGTCAACGCTCATGACAAAAGAAGTCCCAACTAGCAAGTCAACGTTGACATGATTGAATCAAAGAGTGATCTACGTTAAGGTTTTATTTTCCCTTCTTTCTCACGGAAAATTCAATCAGTAAAAATGAGGAACCTCACTAAGTCTGGTTTTGCTAGCGACTTGTGATCAAAGACCCGACGATGCCGGTTGCCATAGATCGTTTTCCAAATTAGCATTGTCAAATTAATACTCAAATCACATTGGTCAGAATTTGGAATTATAACCTTCTTAAGCGCTTTGAATAATAAAATCATGAACCGTGAACTTGCTAGCAAGTTGCTTGTAATTTTATAAGCATTCGTATACTGCAATGCTCTGACCATAGGAATGTTATTATTTCTTCTTTTTGAAGTCTACGTTGTTACTTTTTTGTGAATTTCTAGTTATTTTAAGCATTAGCAATCAGTTTGCTATACCTAGATGCCTATAGTAACACTGATACAACGAGGACAATGTACCAAAGCCTGAGATTCTACTGCTTCTTTCATGTTATCTTGCTAAACGTGGTGTTTCTTTCGATCATTAGAACTGCATTGGGAAATGAAAGCGAAGTCTGAAAACCCGGTTGGCTGTTGGTGACAGTATCAAATTGCTGAGTTCGTGGAACGATTCTGTTCACTTCTTCCCGTGGCAAGGAGTGACTTGTGATCGCCAGATCAAGGAATCACCATCTTGAAGTTAGGTAGTCAAGGCTGTCTAGTAGAATATCTCCCATCCGGTAAAATTCCGCGAAATGGCTAATCCAGATATTTGGTTGAGTGCTTGACGATCCCTTGGAACATTGCTGAGGACGGAAGAAAGCTCATGGAGTGCTTGGTTTCAGTTGTTGAAGTTGGACTCTCATGTTCTACAGAATCACCTACAGATTGCATGGATGTCCTTGATGGTCTCACCAAAGATGCTGCAGATCAAAGAAGCATTCAGTGGGAGGTGAAATCAGCGAGGGAGAATGCAATCTGAAGCTGCTTCATTAAGTATTAAGCTTTTAGCACATTAGGACTCTGCATTTCAAGGTTTCTCTCAAGAAAATAACATAGTAATTCATCAGTAGGGGTGTATTTTTTTCTTTAAACCCTTTTATACAATAACGTGTTAGAACTTTCTGTCATCCAAAAGGAGAATAATATAATAGTATTTACTTTGGACCAACTATTTCAAGAGTCGAAAACTCATTGCCGAGCAAATAAGCTGAAAACAGATTCTCCCTGTTGAAATACCTCAGCTGAAAGCTGCAAGAATGAGCGATCCACGCCTTAAATTATTATAATTTGGCCCTTGATGAGTTCCAGGTAGGCCATATGCTTTTTTTTATCATATGAGATATTGCAATTGAAGAACACTGAAAACAAGCCTTTCTTCTATACCATCATCAAATGGTTAACAGAGGATTTACGTTTATATGACAGTAGTTGCAGTTAAAAGTGTTAAATCTCTAGATCACAGCAGCTTCGAGGAGTTTCATTTTTGACTGCAAAGGCCTTGAAATCCATAGGAGGAAACTATGAAAGATCTTGATTGCCAACTTTTAAGACTCTAGTTTATGAATTATTCCAAGTGGGAGTCGTAATAACTGAATGCTGTAGATGAACATACTCAACAGCAGACCCGAGTTAGTTAAGGAATCTTAGCCATAATGACGGATCACGAATAGTTCGATATCCGAGAATCCTCTTCATCACTGCAACTCAACCATGGATCACTATTCTATGCACCAGCAATATTGTCCTTCATAATCACATGCCTGCTCAAAGAGTGGCGATTTTGGGCTAAGCAAAAAAATATGCTTATCCAATTCCTCCGATTATGCAACGGATGCGTCACATGTGTGTAAATTTTCGACAAAGATTCATATCAAAACAGATCCATTTGTGTTGTATAGGAGAAAGAGTAACCGCCAAGAAAGGTGTATACTGTTTCTCAATTCCAAAAATTAGTCCCAGATTTATCACTGTGAGAGTACAACAATTACTCAAAACCAAATCTTCTTCCAGTTTTGCGACTGTGATGCTTCCCTCTTCCAAACTTTAGCTAATTAAATCCTAAAATGCTTAAAATTCACAATTTCAACAGCAACAAAATAATCAATCACAGCAAAGACTAAACAGAACAGACTTGACAAAAAAAGAATCGAAAGCCAGAACTTTGACACAAATTGAGATCTGATCATTAACAAAGTGAGTATTTCATACAGAATCCAAAAGTACAACAAGAACATTATAACTTGATTAATACACATATACAAAAACGAAAAAGAAGCACAATAGTACATAATTTCACCAAATTACGCAAGCATGTAACAGAATTAACTGCAGATTTCGGATCTCCGACTCACCTAGTCCTTCCATCATATAGATTCTCCGATCCTCACTTCCTACTGTCGTAATCGACGACCTCGGAATCGGTGACGGATCGCGAGTGCTGGACGATGGAGCGCCCGATGGAGTTGATCCAGTCCTCCTTCTCCTTCTCCGTATCGGCGATGAAGTACATGGTCTCGATCTTGGTGGAGAGCTCGAAGGCGTTCTGCTTGTTGAGGACGTCCTCGGCGCCCTTGACGGTGAGGCAGGAGGCGACGGGGATCACGCCGCGAGGCCGGGAGGCGCGTGTGACGGCGGAGTCCTTGAACCAGAAGAGCTTCCCCTGCTTCAGAACGAACCACCGCCGCCGCCACGTCTTGATGTACTCGCCCTGCTTCGTCAGCCAACCGCCGCGCTCCGGAGTCGACCAGAACTCCACGCCGCCGTAGTCGTCGGAGCTCGCCCACTGGCCCGTCGCGGCTCGCCAGAGGCTCGCCATTGGAGCTAGCGGGTTTTGGGGGGTTTGGGGGATTGGAAGGCGTTGACTGGTCGTCGATCGGAACGAGGAGTATGGAGAATAATAAAGAGCTGACCGTACCGGACAGGCTGTTATTATTCTCTTCAGATATGTTGTATTATTGCATTTTTAATTATTTTTTTTCTTTATTTTTTTGGATAAGGTTGATTTTTTTTTTGTTACCGTAAATTGTGGTGTTGCACTTCCCACATCGTTCGTTTAAATTTAAAATTTAAGTTTTATTACAGTAAAAATTATTAAAAATAATTATATTTAATTTTTTTATTATAGTAAAAAGTTATTACATAAAATTATATTTTAATTCAAATTAAAAACTTCAATCAGCGAATTAAACGGGTCATGAATGTCAAATTTTTAATGGTTGTTGGGGCTCTTTTGGCGCGGGCCTTTCTACGTGGAGGGTGCGAAATTCGTGGCCTCATTTAGTTGGTCGACGTTATATGTACGTCGGTCGTACCCTGTTAGTGCGTCGGTCGACAGAGGCTAATGAGCTTCTAAGTGTGATTTTTGACGTCGAAGATGCCCGGAGTGAAGACGTTGGCCCCGGCTGGGTTAGGCTAAACCCGGATGACCCCGAGGACAACGGTATCCAAGGGCAGCATCCGTTGCGATTCCGGCTCCGAGATGGTGAAGAGTTTCTAATAGGGATCTACCAGTGAGCATATGGCGTGGGAGAGGAATGTAACCGGTTTATAGAGGAAGTTCCTAAGCATGTAATTGAGTTATATCCATTTGTTTATGAATAGAACGATTTCGCCGAACGTAGTATGTTGGACGGGATAAGGCTCAGTTTTAGAAATATTAAGTTATGGCTGAGGTGTTTTCACCACTTCCAATGGGGAGAACGCCTAGAAACTTCTTTTAGAGGGACTCCGCCGAAAGTTATGGAGATTAAAGTTCTTCGTCAGGCATTCCCATAAACCAAAATCCAAAAGGTGAATAACCGGCTAAGAGGAGAGTTTCTGAGCTTGTTATTTTGTGTATTCTAGAGTCTCCTTAAAGCTTTTAGATGTGTGATAAGCCATATTCACATGTTTGTGAAAACCAGTTGTAGGACCGCGACGGACATAGTACGTCGGTCGGCAGAATCAAACTTTGGGTGTTGTAAGCCATGGTTGGGTATTCTCAGAGGTTAACCAAAGCTTTAACCACTTCCAATGGGGAAAACGCCTAGAAACACGTTCTAGAGAAACTCCGTCGGAAGTTATGGAGATTAGAGCTCTTTGAGGAGTATTTCGGTAAGTGAAAAATCAAGAGTTGTAACTAACAAAAGGAGGATGTTTTAGGCTTGTATTTAGGTTGTTGATGTTGGGTTTTCATGTGTGTTTAGCTTGGGGAAGAACACCCGAGCATTACTTACTCGGAGGAGCTCCGCCAGAAACCATGAGAAGAGAAGAGTTTCTCTTAAGTGGGAGAGCTATGCTTGGCTTGCTCTCTCTCTCTCTCTCTCTCCCTTTTCCCGTTTTTCTCCTCCTTTTTAGAGTTTAGGGATGCGGTATTTATAGGCAAGGATGGGGGCTCCAAGAGGAGGGAAATTTCCCTCCAAGAGTGTTTGAATTCTTGGTTGAAATCCCTCCACACGCCTACGTCGGTAATAGGGGTGTAAATCGGCCGGGTAGGGTAGGGTTGAGCTGAAAAATTGAGCCTACCCGACTAGTGCGGGTTGAGAAAATTTTGGGCCGCGACACTCTCTTAAGTCTACAAACCCGCAACCTTTCGGGTGACCTCGGGTAGGGTCCGGTTACTCGGGTTGGTGAAAACCAATTTTAATCTATGACTTCATCAATTTTAATCTAAGAGGCTCTTATATGCAAATAAATGATAAAATACTATTGTAGTAAATGAGCAATAAATGATATATGCAAATACTATTGTAGTAAATAATTACACAACAAAATTGCGGCATAATAAAATATAAAGACTAATAACTCATATCACAATATGCATAAAGCAAGAGTGATCTCAAGGACCACATGATCACTTTTTAGTCAATTAATCTGTGCTTGTTACATAAGAAATAATTATCAAACATAACATTTTTTCCTTCAATAGGGGGTCTAAATGCAACGTGAACAATTAAAACACTCACTTTGAAATCAAACACTTCCAATATAAATAAAGAATGTCCTAATTCAACAACTATGGCATACAAGCATTTTTTACACAAATCGTGAATCCAAAACATAAATAAGTTAACAGTTTAAAAGCATAAAGTCCATAAACTTATGAAAGTAAGAATTTGAAGTGTTGAACATTGTTTTACCTACTTTGAACATGTTCGGCTGGGTAGGGTTACCTCCGGATGTAACCCCACCCCGCGCCCCTACCCGCGCAGTGCGGGTTAGGTATAATTCAAACCGAAAATTAAATAAAAAATTAGAAACCCGTAATTTTCGGGTAGGGTCGGCTCGGCTCGGCCGGGTTCGTCGGGTTCGGGGTGATTTCTTACAGCCCTAGTCGGTAAGACATTTTCAGCATGGTTTAATGCTGGCTTTTGTCAATCGCAGGGGAGGGTTTACCAAAAAGATGAAGGACTAGGCTATTGTGCAGCCAATGGAGGTAGTTGGGTGTTTTCAGCATGTTTCAGGCCAAAAGCCAATCTGACACTTGCCTCTGTTAAGCAGTCAATCAAGTTATGTGGCCGTTTTAGGTGTGGTCAGAAAAATGGCAGCCAAGTGGTCAAAGGCTTGCCTTATCTTATTTGTGTATATTCTGCCTTTTTATAGTTTTTGGGGAAGAGAGACTTTGTTGACTTTTGAGGGGAGAGAAGGGCAGGAAGAGAAAGGAAATTTTGGGTAAAATGTTATTTTGTTTTACCTCAGTGTACAGGTGGTGACTGTAAAGTTTGGTAATTTGTCTTACTCTGTCTAATTTTCTCCATAACCCACGTTATCCTAATTCCCTCATAGACCCAAGACCACCCCAAGTGGGCCAAGGATCTAATTGGGCCGGATAAAATGGGCCCGGTCACATTCCTTGGCCTGCCAAACCACGGCCCACATAAAAGTCCCCGAAGCGTGGCTTGGGTCCACGTACCATACCTTGGGTCGTCTTGTGGGATTTGGGCCGAATTTGTACCGTGCGATTTTTTAGGCATCAACAATGGTCATGTCAATTTTTTAATGGTCTTTAACCTTTGTGAGAGCTTCTAATTGTAGTAAAATTGAAATTAAAAACTCAAATTGGAGAAATGAATGAGGCCTTAGTAAGTGACAGCTTAGTCTTTTTTTTTTTTTTTGATTTTGACAAAATAATTTCTAACTTTTTAAAATTGGTGTAATTAACACCTTTTTGTCCATCATTGTCAATTTTCTAACAGAAATTAATACGTGACCACTCATGTGATATATAGGCTTAGTTTGATAGTGCTGTAGATTTAAAAAAAAAATTACTTTTAACTGTGCTGAAGAAAAAAGTAGTTGTTATAAAAAGCAGTTGTGTGTTTGATAAACTATAATTATACTAGCTGTGTTAGTTCCAAAATAAGTGTAATAATGTTTGATAAATTGTGAGGTTGAATTGTTATGGGTAGTTAAAATGACCAAAATAGACATGGTGTTAAACTTAAATATATATAATTATTTTTGGTATTTAGAAATACTTGTTTAACTTAAAAAAAAAGAAAAACATAATGTTATGATTATGAGTTTTCTAACAACAAATTTGTGATAATTAATTCTTTTTTTATTTCTTCATTCACAATATAGTTATAACAAAAGGAACATTAGTGAGTACTCAACATATACAACAAAAATATACATCCCATGTTCCAACCTAGACCAGATTCTTTTCCAATAAGTTCCTTCTAAAGCTTCCAATCATTCTTCAAAACATCTCACTTATTCTTCAATTGTTGTCTTTTATATACTTGTTTCGTTGCTTCATTAAATTTTTGAATTTAATTTTCCTATCGAACTTTATCAAGATGAGTTCCAGGAGGGCGTCCATCTTTCACCTATTTGATACACAAATCACAAAACAGATCCACAGTCTCAGGGTTCCATATTGCTTTGCCTTGTGATATACTACCCTCCATTTGAGAAATAATAATTGAAAGTCTAGAAGAATGTGAGGCTTCATGCTTTATTTTACATAAATAATAATCAGAACACAAAAAACCATTTTGTGGAGGGAAATAAGGGTAATACTACTCTTATTTCTAATTGGAACACTCAATCAATAGCCAAATTAATCATAGCTTCTAGTCCCAGCTACTTCACCTCAATAATCATAGACGCTTGAATCTAAATGAACGCATTATTAGTTTTAATTTTTCATTTCTAATAGTGAGATCAAATGGATTGGACTTACTGTCTACCTATCTTTCACATCCCAAATCCAAAGGAAGTTGCAATTCTTCCAATTTAATTATTAAACTCCATATGACGTGGCTTCATTAAACTTCTAACTACTTAGGTTCCAACAAATAGCTTTAACCAACAAACTACAAACATCATATGTAGGACACCTATAGTGATTATTTTGTAGCGAAGAAAATTAAAACATGCAGTTTTAAATGAAGTTTGGCATCATCTAGCACAAAGACGAGATTAAACACATTAGCAACCAAAAGCTTATTTCGTCAGGATCATAACATACATAAATAGAAGTCAAATTAAAATTAACAAAGAAAAAATAGGAAAGAGAAATAAATAAATAAAAGTTAAATAGAAGTCAAATTAAAATTAACAAAGAAAAAATAGGAAAGAGAAATAAATAAATAAAAGTTAAAGGAGGTTTGACATCATCTAGCAAAACAAAAGTTTTACATTGGTGCAATAAATAGTCATTTATAGATTTGCATTGAAAAGCGGTTCTTCGCAATTGCAAAACAGAAAGGGATATTCGCAAACTCATCTCAAGTTTCAAACAACACGATTAACGTAGAGAAAGTGAATATACATATACATGACAATTTAAATGCATAATAATAAAAGAAAAGCACAACTCCAGTAGCAAGAAATGAAACCCTAACAGTTTTACCAAGTTAATGCATAAATAAAAACCAAATCAGCACAAAGACAAAACCCTAACAAAATATACATTACCATGATTTTTACCAAAAAAATATGTGGACAAATCAGAGAAACTAATCAATCGAGTACTTACAGAGGCCGGCGAACGGAGAAAGCGGAGAGAGAGACAGACGAACGGAGAATGGAGCACTGAGCACGAAGAGAGAAGAGAGAGAACAGAAGATAGAGAGCACAAAGAGGTAATTGAGCGGAGAGAAGAGAGAATACCTCTAAAAAATGTGATTGACAAGATGGCATTTTTTAAATTTCATTAGAGTAAAATTGAGAATAAAAGACTTTCATTAATCAAACTTTGATTCCGCATAAGTTAAAATCAGAATGGCTGATTCTACTTTTAACTTCAAATTGAGTGAAAATTCTTCAAAAATCTTTTTTTTTTTTGCTTTTTACCGAACAGTTTTGACAACTTTAATTGGATCAATAATGCTTTTCATCTCCTAGAATCAATACCAAACTGGACCATAATTATGCTGAAAAGACTAATTTGTCCTGATTTATTATTCTTCTTCTTTTTTAATTAAATCACAAAATAAAATAAAAGAAAAAAGAAAACTCAAACCCAGCTATCTGTGATTAATTTGGAAAAAAAAGGGCCTCCTTCATTTGTTGCTTCTCCAAACCACTTCTCTCTAGAATCGGCACTTCTTGTTGCTCAAATCCACAATCTAATCTTGCATTTCTCTTCATTTTAGGTCAGGTTCAATTCTCCCTCAAAAAAAGCCTCCAGCGGTCGAGCCCCCTGTACTGCCCAGATCTGTCTGTCCAGCCTCCGGCCAACCATCATCGCCAGATCGTCGCAGCCCCGCCCAAGCCGTCCTATCTCGAAATCAACCGCCACCCATCGAATTCGTCTCTACCGCCCAGATCTCCGTCGAGCCTTCGCCGAACAGTCGCGAAATCGTCGCAGCCCCAGACGAGCCATCACATCTCGAACAAGCCCTCTCCAGCTGTCGCAAGATACACAAATCTGCTCCTTTTTTTATTATTATTTTTTATGAAGGGCCATGCTGAACGTGTTTGGATGTTGGCGTCAACAATTGTGTGAGGTTTTGAGGTTTGTGTGTTCTTTTGTTAGGGTGATGATGAGCACTTATGAAATCATTCACCTGCTGCATAAAAAAATTTCTAATCAAATATCGTTAAAACCAATGGTCTCCATTGCTGGTGAAAAATTAGTTGTGGTTGATCAAATTGTTTGATATTTTCGTTGTGGTTGATTTAAAGATTGGGATCTGCTAAATCGCGTCTTTCCTTCTTTTTTTTTCTTTTTTCATTTTACTTTTTGTTAAATTCAAGAATCCCAAATTAGCCCCAGTTAATTCAGCTCTAATTTGACCAAGTATACACTTTTACCATTATGCCCCGACTAGGAATGTTACGTGACCCCTCACGTGTTAATTTCTGTAAGAAAATTAACAGAGATAGACGAAAAGGTGTTAATTGCACTTATTTTAAAAAGTTGAGAATTGCTTTGCTAAAATTTTTAAAAAAAGAGACTAAACTGTTACTTATTAAATAAGTTAGGAAATAAGAAGTATTTGTGTCAATTACTCTTTCAATTTTAACAAATTACACTGAACTTTAAAATCAAAATTAAGTGAGGTACAATAGTTAATGAGCTTTATTAAATTGATGATTTAAAATATGAAATTTAAACATGAAAGGAAAATATCGTCATTTTTAAATCATATTATGTACAAATATCATATTTCAAATTGTCAATTTAATAACGCCTTCAATTACTATTAATTTTAAATTTTAAAGTGCGATTTGCGAAAATTGAAAATTTAGGTTCACTATGAAAAAATAAATAGTTTAGGAATGCAACATTTACTTTAGTTAATTTAAAGGAACTTTTTACGGCAAGAACAACTTTTTTCCTACTATTAGTTGTTGAATAATTTTTTAACACTTGATTAATATTTGGGAACAAATTTATATAGCGCACTACAAATTTAAATGTGAACATATTAGACTGTTGAAAAATTAATCTAACGATTGAAACAACAGTGTCTATAGGGAGGGAAAAAGAACAATTCTTATTATAGAAATTCCTTATGAAAGGACCAATAGATTTTTGTATATTTTGATTTTTAACGTGATAACTTGTAGTTGTATGTAGGGATAGCAATTCGTGTTAACATGTTATGTTTGTATCAACCCGTTTATTAATCATATTAAAAAATATCAACCTAAATACGACTCATTCATTAAAAACCTACAAACCAATGCTTAAGACAAAGAAAGAATACTCAAGACTCATAAGGACAGGCATAAAATCGAAAGTAGTAGGAAAGGGGAACTCCTCTCTAGAGGAAGGGATTCGACTGCTTTTCACTCCTACTCTCTTCATATGGTAGATTCCACAAAACGTGTCAAAAATATCAACCTAAACACGACCTCCTTATGAATCATATTAATCGTGTTAACTTGGAGCCTTCGTCTAAAATTAATACACTGAATAAATAAAATTGATATTATTATAATTTATTTGACATGATCCTTATATGTTTAACAATCTGTGAAGAAAAATAAGTAAAGTTTACCAAAAATTTTTAAAATTCATATTATTTGTATCTAATACATATACATGATAGAGTACTTGTGTTACACAGATTAACCCGAATCCAAATCTAACTTAATTATTGATCGTGTTAATCGTGTTAACCCAATTATGATCCATCCCATTTATAATAAACCTAAACGCGCTATCTTCGCGCGAGTTTCGAGTCGTGTTGTTGTAACATGACCCAAATACTTTGATGTCCAAACACTTTGATTTTGTGAACAAGATAAACCAGTTTGGTGAATCTATATTTATAATCTATAATCTATAACATACATAAAAGAGCCAAAAAAAAAACTTTTCCTCTTTTTTATTTTATTTTATTTTTTTTTATTACACATAGCATCTACCTTTTCATGTTGATTGGAGCAGGTAGTTATGGCTCTGTATATAAAGGCATTCTCGATCAGGAAGAAAATATAGTTGCTATAAAGGTCCTCCATCTTCAGCAGAAAGGAGCTGAGAAGAGCTTTATTGCTGAATGTAATGCAGTGAGAAATATAAGGCATCGGACTCTTGTGAAGATTTTGACATGTTGCTCTAGCGTGGATTATCATGGGAATGAGTTCAAGGCTTTAGTATTTGAGTTTATGCCAAATGGAAAACTAGAGAAGTGGTTGCATCATGAGCTGATTGATGGCAATATTTTACACAAAGGTCTGAGCATGATTCAAAGACCAAATATTGCTGTTGATGTGGCCTCTGCAATATACTATCTTCATGAAGATTGTGCTGAGCCGATCATTTACTGCGACTTGAAGCCTAGCAACATTCTTCTTGACAATGAATTGGTTGCTCATGTAAGTGATTTTGGATTAGCAAGGTTGATCTCAAACACTACCGGCTTTTCCTATAGTCAAACAACTGGAATTATGGGAACTATTGGTTATGCCCCTCCAGGTATCAATTATATATGCCGTTTTGTCCTTTTTAATTTCTTTGAAAATGTTGCAAAATGCAGATGCATTGTGCATATTAGTGTAAAAGCAATATGTGTGTGTGTGTGTGTAAAAATGATCTAACTAATGAGAGTTTATCATTCATCACCTAGTAGCTTTAGAGCTAAAATACATGGATCAGAATCAGAGTAGAGACATGGGTAATATTTTATTCAAGATGTCTATCTCTTTCATATCATGTACAAGTTATAATGATTTATACTATATTGACGTTTTCTTTAACGTTTCTAAATTTAAATGAAAATACTGTTAGCATAGCAGTTAAAAAAACGTAAATAGAAATTAATTCTTACTGGTGCAGAGTATGCAATGGGTAGTGAGCCATCAAGAAAGGGGCGTGCGTATAGCTATGGGATCCTTCTGTTGGAGATGTTCACCGGAAAGAGACCCGCCGATGAAATGTTCAAAGATGATTTCAATCTTCATAACTTCGTTAAAAAGGCCTTGCCAGAAGGACTTGTGCAGATTGCAGACTCCGCTCTTCTCCCTAGAGAAGTAGACGAAAACTGCGGCAACAGTGGAGGCATTGAGATTGACGAAGAGGATTGACTTTATATACTAGTAAAACGAATGAAACACGTTAGCGAATACAAGTACCGAGACCTAACGGGAAACTAACAAACAAAATCTATTGATTTTAAGGTGGAGTTATTTTCTATTATTTTTTTATTTTTAGGAAGAGCTATTTTTTGTTAATCAGTGTCGTTTTTAGGTGATGCTTGTTTTTCCTCTCGTTTCAACTTTTGTCGTACCTCTTACTTAGCCAATAGGATTTTGTCGTTTTCTATCTTTCGTGTTCGGCCGGTTCTTGTTTTCTGGCGGTTCACGACCCTATCTATTTATTATAGGTGTAAGAAGATCATACTATCGACTTCAGCATCCTCGTAGCCACAGGAGTTTTTGTCATTTTCATCGTTCTTGGTTTGCCAGTCTTCGTTGTTTTCCAGTTGTTGATGTATCGTTTTTCAGATAAATATCGTTTTTTTTTTTTAAATTGTCGCTTCTAATACAATTGTGGTTTTCAGGTTGATGTCGCTCATTCAGGTCCTCGTGCTATGTCGTTGTCGTTTAGGAGAGTATTGCCGCTTTTTGTGATGGTGTCGTTTTTTATTAATCTTGTCTCTCTTCTATTTTTTCTTCTTCTTAGTGGCTGTCCTTACAAATCCATGGACAGGGATCACGTTATCGAACTCGGGATCCTCTTAGCTATAGGATTTTGTCGTTTTCATAATTCTTGTTTAGCGTGTTTATTGGATATGCAAAGTAGAATTTATTATTGATCACGACAACATTATACATAATTGAGTGTATGCTTAGACTTTTACACACATTTATTGATATGCAAATCCGAAAATGGTGAAATACAGAATAGGTAATATCCGAGCGTAGTGTAAACGCAAGAACAGTTCCAAAAGCCTATTGTCCAAAGATCCAAACCAAATAGAAATATCGTCATTATTTAATTAGCTTCAATCTCCTGCAGTTCAATTACAAGTATAATTATTAGTAGATTTCATGGCTTGGACTGAATATTTTCCTATAGTTGCAAGAGCATTATTTCAATACATGTTGCCATTCTACTCTTTTTAGTAAAGTGTTGTTCTTGAAAAGTTATGATAATTTGCAAGATAAAATTAGTAGAAATATACCTATAATTTAGCCGATTCTTCGTCTTTCTCGGCGAACTCCATCACTGACATAAGCGTTTCTGATATGTTGTAGCTTCCTAGTAACATCTCCCATGCTTATTATTTCATTTGGTGATTTTTCCGCACAGGCAAGTCCAATTTCCAACACTGAAACCAAGCACTTCTGTTGATGAGCGCTTACCTCGTTTGGGTTCTCAAAGTTGACGTTTCCTCCTCCTTCTTCTTCTTCTTCTTCGATCTCATTTCCTCTGTTGCTTCTGTTGTTTCTTCCATTTTCTCTTCTCAATGCAGTTTCTTCTACTACTTCTCTAGGGAGAAGAGAAGAGTCCACAATTTGCACGAGTCTTTCTGGCAAGGCCATCTTAACGAAGTTGTGGAGATTGAAATCATCTTTGAACATTTCATCGGTGGGTCTTTTTCCGGTGAACATCTCCATCACAAGGATCCCATAGCTATATACATCCCCTTGTCTTGATGGCTCACAACCCATTACGTACTCTGTAACCCAAAAACAATTAACATATATATGTGCTTGTTTTCATTGTGCTATACGCTGTAAAAAGCGTCTAAGGAGTACAAAGTTTACTTGGACCAAGAAAACATAAAAGTATTTACAATAGTTTGTGTTCTTTTTAAGCTATGGCGTTTGGAATAAGTCCATTTCTATATCTATATGTTAAAAATTGAATTGCTAGAATTTAAATAAACAGAGGTAATTGTTGAAGAATTATTACCCGGAGCAACATAACCAACAGTTCCCTTAATCCCAATTGTGCTAGTTTGACCTTCTTCAGAGAATCCAATTGGTTTTGAGATCAACCTTGCTAACCCAAAATCACTTACGTGAGCAATCATTTCATTGTCAAAAAGAATATTGCTAGGCTTCAAATTGCAATGAATGATCGGTGGCTCACAATCATCATGAAGATAGTGTATTGCACAAGCCACATCGATCGCAATATTTAGTCTTTGAATTAGGTCCAAATCCATTGATTGGTTTACGCCATTAGTCAATAGATGCAACCACTTCTCTAGGGTTCCATTGGGAATATATGAAAAGACTAGAGCCTTGAATTCATTGCAATTATAATCTATGCTAGAGCAACATGTCAAGATCTTAACAAGATTTCGGTGTCTAATATTTCTCAATGCATTACATTCAGCAACGAAACTTTTGTCGGCTACTTTCTGTTGAAGATTTAGAACCTTCACAGCAATTGGATTTTCTTCATGGTCAAGATTTCCTTTATATACAAAGCCGAAGCTACATGTTCCAATTAACATGCTTGAAGAGAATCCACTAGTGTGATGCCCAAAATTCTCACATACTAGTTGGCCAATGCATTGCATCCATTCATGGCATAATATTCATCATTTATAAGTTTGGCATGCTATTGAGATGCATTGTTATGTTATTAGTGTATATTAAGTAGTTGTTGAGCATAATGTTTTGATGAAATGACAGGCTTGCTCGAAGGTGGATCCGGTAGGTGGAATAGTAGAAAAGAAGTTTATAATAGTGGTTTTTATGAATTACAAAGAGTTTAATTGGTAATGAAGTTAAAAAAAAAGGTTAAGTATGGATTTTGTTCGTTAGTTGGACCCACATGTTGTACAAAATTCCTTACAATAAGAACATAAGAGTATGAAACCAATTGCAAGAGGTTTATATGGAATTTCACATGAACTATTGAACTAGAACACACTAGAAAACCCTATTTTGCTCGAAATTCGGTGCTCGGGTTTTCGAGTCTTGATTGAGGCTTTTGTTGGCTTGTAAGTGACTTAGGAAAATTTATTATCTCATACTTGAATATGTTAGGAAGGATTTTACAAATATTGGTTAAGTTTAAATGATGAACGGACATGAACAAAAGTGACTATTTTAGTCCTACCGAGTTTTTGATATGAGCAAGTACACCTAAGTTGGTATGTCAATTGAGTGGTTATGACCTACTATGTAAATAGGATTTGGTGTGAGTGTGTAACACCCTATTAAGAAGGTGACCAAGCAGAAATAAGGGACACATGACCAGCCAAGTTGATATTCCTTCATGATGACTAAGCTGCCTCTTTGATTGCTTAAGGGATATAAGCTACTAGATCATTCTACACTACACTTATTCATCTTCCCCGACCACTCTTTGACAGAAACCCCCTTCTCAAGCTGTTAACTTAAGAAAATAAGACTTTCCTTGGTGGTTTGTCAAGTTTTGGACGCCAAATTTCAAGAAAAACCTAACCTAGTCAAGGTAAGGGCCTGTTTGGTTTGGAAGAAGTTTGGTGTTGGTTCAGTGGGTTTCGTTTGAATTTTACTGAGATGTTTATACCACATAATTTTTGATATGTCAGGCACAACCACATAAAAGGATTTAATCAAACTCAATTGGGAGGTGGTGGTTTCAAGTTTGTTTTGGTGGCAGCCCTGAAATAGGTTGGTTCTACAAGTGGCTCAGATTTTTGTTTATTTTCCTAGGCTAGAGAGCTCCGTTTGAGCTGAAATTTTGAGGGAATATTATCTTAGGTGTTATCAAATAGTCCCTAAAATATCTCATCAAAATACTATGTAATTTAGGTGTTATGACCTTTTAACCGAACATGGTTTAGTGTGTGGGATGATATTTGATTATGAGCATATTATATTTTATTTTGGGATATTAAATTCAAAGCAGGTGACTTTTGGCTTTGGGGAGTGTTAGAAATAAGGGAAAATGCTGTCAAAATTTTTAGAAAATTTTTGGGATCAAGAAGGACCCAAATTTGGGGCTAAAACCACCCCGTAGCCTATACCACGACCACTGGACACACCAAGCACGCCCTGGCCTGCGTGCAGGCATCCAGGCAGGCCTGCCTACAGCCCATGCTATGCGCAGGCGACCCTGCTGCGTGCCCAGCATGGGCTGCAACCTGAGTGCCTGGCTTCTCGGCCAACAAGGTCAAATGAGCCATTTTTAGCACTTTTTAGCCATTTTTAAGATATTAAAGTATATTCCAATTGTATATTTGATCAAATAATTATTATTACTCAAAAATTTAAATTTAGAATATTATTATCAGTAATTAAAAAAAATAATGATCAATACCTAAAAGATTATTTCAGTCTTAAAGTTTAAGGTAAGTAAAATTTCATCTGCATCACCATAAAAGTTATGCATATGATAATTGTTTCAATGAATGTCATAATTAAATATATGAATTGCATACAACCGTGACATAAGCATACATGCACGACATGATGAAAAATATATATCCAAGACATTAATGAAAAGTGGGTGAGTATGAAGATAACTTAAATGTCCTTATGGTTATAAGTGACGGGCCTAATGAAATGAAATAACGAATATGTCTCAATGGAGACATCCAGACCTACATGTCTCGAAGGAGACTGTCTCGATGGAGACTTGCGGTGTGAATGCTTCCTTGATGATCACAAGGAAGAAGAGAAGATTGATATTGTGAATTACCCCACACGGCGGCATTTGGTATATATATATATATATATATATATCTTCTTTGTGGTTACAAGGTCAGATGAGGTGTCTGGGACATTACCTATCTACAAAACCCTAAAAATACACACATGATAAAAGTGTGAAGGAAAGTGAATTAAATAACATTAAATGAAGATTTCAAGACATGAGCTCATGCATATTACTATTATTATATTGTTATGTATTGTTCTACTTACTGGGTTGTAGCTCATTTATTTTATGGCGGTGCAGATGAGGGCACTTCCCAGCATTAGCTGAAGGTTAGACGTGTGACGATCCTCCTAGGAGGCCGCCACTGTAGCTGAAATTAACTTGTACTTACTGGGATTTCTTAAAATTTGCGGAACTTTTTTTTTTGAGAAGGAATAATTTCATAATTTGTAACAATAATTTCAAAAGAATGAATCACTAAATTTCTTAAAACTTTTCTTAAAATGCTGTAAGAATGCTGTAGCATTCTTCTTAAAAATGCTTTAGGAATGCTGTAGCAATCTATTTAAAATGTTGTAGGAATGCTGTAGCATTCTTTTTTTAAAATGTTGTAGGAATGCTGTAGCATGCTTCTTAAAAATGCTTTGGGAATGCTATAGCAATCTTTGCTTGAAATACGGTAGGAATGCTGTAGCATTCTTTTTAAAATGCTTTAGGAATGCTGCAGCATTCTCTCTTTCTTTTCTTTTTAAACTTACTATAACGACATACTTCTGGCAGTTTACACAAACTTAGCATTATACTACAAACTTCTAAAAATACAAGTTTATAGACATACTTATCAAAATCTTTTAAAACTTTAACTACTGCGGAAAAAGGCTGCGTGAGCGGTATCTACTCCCATCTCCACCATTCGTCCGCCGCTCGTTATTGTCGTTCAAGAATTGTTGATAGGTTTCTTACCTACAACATGAACATATCTGATTGAGTTTTCGCTCAGCAAGTAGGAACTATCTCTCGTAAAATAACTGTAAGTACACATGAATAAATATGCATGAGCTGATTATGCTTAATTATGATGTCTTATCACAGTCTTATTATCTTATCTTATTTTATCTTTCTTTCTTACTGGCCCGAGTGCTCGTACCACTTGCGCGCAATCATCGGGACATGAGGGTTTGCAAGGTCCCCCATGACATCATGATTATAACTAAACTAAATGCCTCCCTCTCAGAGGACATTATTATATTTTTTTCCTTCTCCCTTGGGAGCCTGGTACGACACTCAACTGAGATTATTCTTATAAGTTCCTCTTGACTTATTACAGTGTATGCAGTATGACATGGCATCGCATATAATACTTAAAGCATAAACATGGATATATAACATTTGTAACTTTTTCTTTAAAATCCATTCATGTTGTAGGCGAGATTCCTACTTACCTGATTTACAGAGCTGGAATCCACTTTTCGCCAAATAGCCTATTCTCTTACTTGCTTACTTCTGAAAATGAACACCCATTGTGAGTGTGAGATTATCTGTCATTTGCTATTCTATTTTAGCAGCTTATGAAGGAAATCTAGCCTTTTACTTAAGGCATGTGTTCATTTCCTTTACTGAAGGATAATTTACTATAAGGATCAATTTATTAAATCCTCAAAATCTTATTTTCCTTAATTGCCCTTAACATACTTATGTCTAAATTGAAAATTATTTACCCAATCTAGTAACTTATTCTCCATAATTTTCCTCATTAGACTTATTATGATATTAAGGCCCAATTTGGCCTAGAAACTTATTCACAGCATTATAACTCTTAGGCCGTTGAAATTTAACTCAAACGGAGTCTCTTAAATCAATGCGGGCGTTGGACCCTCATCAAACCTTCAAAATTCTATGGACCTATCGTATTGGCTCGTAGGAGCCTATCGGGATGATTTGCTCGATAAACCACTAAATTCTTTAAAAGAAAGTATTTTTCTTGAAAACTTTCTTTACGAATACTTCCGTTAAAATGAGGTTTAACACCATAGCATTTTATTGAAATCACATTTCACGTTCTTTGATAACTTTTTGTTAAAACTAACACTGTGTTAGTTTTGTTTCGTTAAAACTGTGCAGTTTCTAAAATCTGCGTTTTACTGCATCTTAGAGTTGGATTTCAAAAATTTATTCTTTGCGACAATTTTTCGTCTCGTCAAGATCTAAAATTGTCATTTTTGGAGAAAGTTGAAATTCAGCCTCTAAAGGCCTCGTTTGGCTGAAAACAGTGGCTGCTATTTTTTTTATGCTTTAAGAATGTTGTAACATTCTTTTTAAAATGCTGTAGGAATGCTGTAGCATTCTGCCATAGCATTCTTTTTTTTTTCAAAATTGTGTTTGGACGCCCTGTCCGTTTTTGCAAAATGGCTTCAAACTTGCTTTTAGAGTTAAAGTTGGGTTTTGTCATAGTCACAGAAAAATGTTCAAAACATCGAGAACCATAAGTTTAAGTCTAGAAATACTGAAAAATCTCACTCTAGAGTCCTCGTTTTCGCGTTCAAAGTAACCAGAAAATTTTTCCTCCAACCTAAAATAAGCAAACTTCAACCAAGTATAATCATACCACATGATGCTAATCAAACTAACCTCAAAACTCACAAAACCAACATAAAACTCACACACCCTTATTACAACTCATCTCCTCAAGAACCACAAATTACATCCATAAATTCAAGCTTAAAGTTGGCTAGAAAATAATGGAGAAGAATTTAAGAAATTACCCTTGCAGAACTCTCTCTCTTGAAAACCTTTGAACTCTTCTAAGATTTGTTAATGGCTTGGAACTAGAAGAGTATAAGGAAATTTGAGAAGAATATTTCT